AAATAAAAACACTTTGTTTTGTTTCGATAATTCTCCTTTACTGTGTGTTGCTGCCGGCCCGTCTCTCCCCCATTCTCATTGAGTATTTTACAAAGAGTGAAACAAACAGCGCCCCTCTAGATGTTATGGTGAAACAGTAGATTGCACTCACTGTTGTGAGAGGAGGCCAGCCGAATCTGGCTTCCTTTGGTGAAAAAAAATGGAGGGATTGACCAATCAGATGAGGCCCACGTGATGCCCCTGCCAACCTGTGATTGGTCAGGGCCATGCCAAGGGAAGCCAGCCGCCTCTAGCTTCCCTTCAGGGGCGGCTGGCGGCTGGCGATTTGATTGGACACTGCCATCCAATCAAATCACATCAACATCAGTTTTAATACTGTAACTGTCATCACCACCGTTAGAAATTATCAAGCAAATGAAGCATTATGGAGGGTGGAGATTTGGCGTACTTAATCAAACATAACTTTACTAAACTTCCGCTACAGCAGCAACTAAAAATTAAATCAGATGACAGGCCAATGCCCGCACTCGAGCTGTGTGTACACAGAGGAAAAAGGGAGATAATCGGACGTTCAATGAGGACAATTATGTCCGCACGGAGTGGCTAACTGGAAGCGCTAAACTTCAGCGTCTATTTGGCTGGCCATGTCTTCTTTTTGACAAGGATTCGTGCTTCCTGAACAATACTTGGGCAACTTCAGGATTCATCGACCTTGCCAACCTGTCACGGGCAATTGAGAGGCACGGTAAATCCAAAAATCACAGATTGTGTGATTGTTTGCATACATTAATAAGTAAAATGCTTAAATTAATAAGAAGAGAGTTTCAGCTGGAGAGTGCGTGCGGACCTGTCGGTTAGATAACAGGCGTGTGCAAGTCCTGCATCTGTGTGATACAAATGTGTGTCAAATGATACCGGGCGCTGTAATCACTCATCTGGTTACGTTATTGACCGCCCCCCGACCCAAAAAATGGGCTTCCCCTACATTTTCCCCCACGCCACGCTACTGGGTACATGTGGAGAACAGCACACTTCGCAGGCTTTGCGATTTGGTGTGCGTGTGCGTGTGCGTGTGTGTGTGTGTGTGTGTGTGGTATAGCATTACTATACTTGTGGGGACCTAAATCTGTTTACATAGTCACGTGTGGGGACTGGCTTCCCTTATGGGGACAAAATGGAGGTCCCCATGAGGGGAATCATTAATTTTAGGGTGAAGACTTGGTTAGGGTAAGGCATGTGTTGGTTATGGTTAAGGTTAGGATAAGTCTCCAGGAAATGCATGTAAGTCAATGTTGTGTGTGTGTGTGTGTGTGTGTGTGTGTGTGTGTGTGTGTGTGTGTGTGTGTGTGTGTGTGTGTGTGTGTGTGTGTGTGTGTGTGTGTGTGTGTGTGTGTGTGGTGTGTGTGTGTGTGTGTGTGTGTGTGTGTGTGTGTGTGTGTGTGTGTGTGTGTGTGTGTGTGTGTGTGTGTGTGTGTGTGTGTGTGTGTGTTCGTTCATTCATATGCTCAGCGTTTGTTTACTGTCTGGGCAGTCACAGTGGAGTTGAGCTGATACTCCTCTAAGCAGATGTTGATAGATGCAGCAGCGGCTAATAAGTTGTTTGTATTTTTCACCACAGATTTGAATCTTAAAGAGCCGGTGTGACGTATTTAGGGGGACCTATTAGCAGAAATTGAAAATAATATCCATGGTTATGTTTTGATTGGTGTACAATCACTGGGGGAGTAATGGTAAAATTGACTGTTTTCCCTTACAGTTGCCCAAAAAAAGACATCAGATTAATGTTACATATTTAGTAGCATGTACAATGTTAGTAAAAAACTAAAAATAGCATATTGTGTTTGTTGTAAGAGGGTCAGACTGCCTGAATATGCTTAATGAAAAGCAGGTTTTCCTATAAACAAAATAATTTTTGATCCTAAATATCTTGGTTTATCCTAATGACTTCTTGGCTTAATGGTTTTTAAATCAGTGGCTATTTGACTTTTTGTTGCATAGCCTTCCATTGATTTGCCACAAATCTCATATTTTTCATCAGCTTTACTGAGTGGTTGTGGTTTCCCAGCATTTAACCTCTGTACATGATTCACACCATGACATCACATAGTAGCTGAATCATCTGCAGACGTTACAGTAAATCCTGGAGGGTCCCTCCCAGTCTTGAGTGCTGATGAAACTCAGAAAAATAGCCTTTGACCTATCAAAGTCCATTCTTCTCAGGATTCAAATCAGCCTTAGGTAGATAGAGGCTAGGATACAAGTTTGAAAAATCAGTCCAACTTTGCAGCTAACGTACATTTCTAGTGATAATGTATATCATTATGTAGTGTCTCTACTTTAAAGAGTCCTCTCCTGCTGATGTTCAGGTGTATATCAGTATGTAGTGTCTCTACTTTAAAGAGTCCTCTCCTGCTGATGTTCAGGTGTATATCAGTATGTAGTGTCTCTACTTTAAAGAGTCCTCTCCTGCTGATGTTCAGGTGTATATCAGTATGTAGTGTCTCTACTTTAAAGAGTCCTCTCCTGCTGATGTTCAGGTGTATATCAGTATGTAGTGTCTCTACTTTAAAGAGTCCTCTCCTGCTGATGTTCAGGTGTATATCAGTATGTAGTGTCTCTACTTTAAAGAGTCCTCTCCTGCTGATGTTCAGGTGTATATCAGTATGTAGTGTCTCTACTTTAAAGAGTCCTCTCCTGCTGATGTTCAGGTGTATATCAGTATGTAGTGTCTCTACTTTAAAGAGTCCTCTCCTGCTGATGTTCAGGTGTATATCAGTATGTAGTATCTCTACTTTAAAGAGTCCTCTCCTGCTGATGTTCAGGTGTATATCAGTATGTAGTGTCTCTACTTTAAGAGTCCTCTCCTGCTGATGTTCAGGTGTATATCAGTATGTAGTGTCTCTACTTTAAAGAGTCCTCTCCTGCTGATGTTCAGGTGTATATCAGTATGTAGTGTCTCTACTTTAAAGAGTCCTCTCCTGCTGATGTTCAGGTGTATATCAGTATGTAGTGTCTCTACTTTAAAGAGTCCTCTCCTGCTGATGCTCAGGTGTATATCAGTATGTAGTGTCTCTACTTTAAAGAGTCCTCTCCTGCTGATGTTCAGGTGTATATCAGTATGTAGTGTCTCTACTTTAAAGAGTCCTCTCCTGCTGATGTTCAGGTGTATATCAGTATGTAGTGTCTCTACTTTAAAGAGTCCTCTCCTGCTGATGTTCAGGTGTATATCAGTAAGTAGTGTCTCTACTTTAAAGAGTCCTCTCCTGCTGATGTTCAGGTGTATATCAGTATGTAGTGTCTCTACTTTAAAGAGTCCTCTCCTGCTGATGTTCAGGTGTATATCAGTATGTAGTGTCTCTACTTTAAAGAGTCCTCTCCTGCTGATGTTCAGGTGTATATCAGTATGTAGTGTCTCTACTTTAAAGAGTCCTCTCCTGCTGATGTTCAGGTGTATATCAGTATGTAGTGTCTCTACTTTAAAGAGTCCTCTCCTGCTGATGTTCAGCTGTATATCAGTATGTAGTGTCTCTACTTTAAAGAGTCCTCTCCTGCTGATGTTCAGGTGTATATCAGTATGTAGTGTCTCTACTTTAAAGAGTCCTCTCCTGCTGATGTTCAGGTGTATATCAGTATGTAGTGTCTCTACTTTAAAGAGTCCTCTCCTGCTGATGTTCAGGTGTATATCAGTATGTAGTGTCTTTACTTTAAAGAGTCCTCTCCTGCTGATGTTCAGGTGTATATCAGTATGTAGTGTCTTTACTTTAAAGAGTCCTCTCCTGCTGATGTTCAGGTGTATATCAGTATGTAGTGTCTCTACTTTAAAGAGTCCTCTCCTGCTGATGTTCAGGTGTATATCAGTATGTAGTGTCTCTACTTTAAAGAGTCCTCTCCTGCTGATGTTCAGGTGTATATCAGTATGTAGTGTCTCTACTTTAAAGAGTCCTCTCCTGCTGATGTTCAGGTGTATATCAGTATGTAGTGTCTCTACTTTAAAGAGTCCTCTCCTGCTGATGTTCAGGTGTATATCAGTATGTAGTGTCTCTCTCTACTCATGTCTCCATGCTTTAATGTTCAAAAAGCTCAATTACAATGTGTTGGAACACACGGTCCAATGGAGGCGTTTCGGGCTCGAAAACCCCCTAAAGCTTCATAGGGCCGTCTGAGAGTCATCCAATAGTGGTGAGAAACTGAATGAAGTGTGGAGGAGTGTATTGTGCTGCTGAGCAGTAAGTGTATGTTGCATTATCTAAAGCAGGGCTGCCTGTAATTGGCTCCTTTTGGATGTTTTAACCAGCTGCAGCATCGTAGCTCCAAGCCTTCCCTTCTCCCATCAGCGCTCTCTCAAGATTCCCAGAATCCTTGTTGCTATTTCCCTCTAAGGTGAAAACTGCAGCAATGCTCTCGGCTAATAAATACACACCCCCATGTATATACACTTTTAACAAATACAGAAAACGGTAAATCTGCAGCTCTTACGATAAGGAAACTGTAACTGCCACATTTCTAATATATGAAAAAGGTCACTGCACTCGGATGATTTGCAATAAGGCTGCACGGTTAGGAAAATGGATTTTTTTAACCTATATTGCAATTGTGATGTGCTATTTAGTGTTTAATCATTCAATGATACCATACAAAGGCGGACGTTCACTTACATGTTTAGATGTTTGTGCACTTGCATGACAACCTCATCATAAATACAGAAAAAAGTAACGAGGAAATAATCAGCATTTACTGCTTTCTTTGCTGACATACATACTTTCCAGAGCTTTGTGAATTTCCTTCTGCTTGGGCTCGACAGGTCTTTCTAGGTTTAGTTACTCTGGCTGTTCAAAGTGTCAGAACCCTCTTTCTGGGGCAGTGTGTTGTTATTAAATCCCCCTGATGCTCCGGTTCGTGGCAGTAGAGGTGATAGACCGCACCACTTTTGCTGTGGGATTAGCAGAGGAGTTCATGCTGTCTTCAATAGCCGTAACTCATGTGTTTGTTTTTCTTTGTAGTTGCTGTCCTTGGCCTGTTGTCAGAGCTGCGTTTGGACCTGGATCTGCACAGCCTGCTGTTTGGAGAGAGTGTCCTGAATGATGCCGTGGCCATCGTCCTGACACAGTGAGAATGTCATTTTAGGATTTGTCTCTGCCCTCCAAGTGTGATATATTTTCTAGGATAATTGTGTGGGAGCTCAGTCAGTCTTTTGGCAATTGGTGGCAAGGGGGTGGAAGTGAGGGGGAGGAAATGGATGATGCCAGCTGTAGGGAAAGTGTGCGATTGGCAAAACCACATTAGTGCTTTCGATGCTATGCAGTGGACTGCGTAAGCGAGTTGCCCGTGGCACTGTCAGCATCTCATTAAAGTTCTCACTGACTCACTGCCAGGGAAGAGACACGCTCCCAGCTAACAGATCCGCCTGACACAGATACTGTCAAACTCGGACAAAATACAGCATGAAACCCTCAGTGAGGTCGCCACCATGCAGTCTTGCTTCCTTCATGCATTTCATTTGCTTCTCTACTTTTCCCTTTCTCCACGTTTGCACTCAAATATGTTTGTTTGTCCTGCTCACAAACATTGCAGCCATTGTCTGCTCTATTTACACATTGTTAGTGGATAAAACTATTCAAGTAGACGTTCTAACAGATGGCACGAAGGAGACAGAGAAGGGAGAAAACTCACACAGGTCCTCATTAGATTCAAGATTCAAAGGCTTTATTGTCATATGCACAGTTTCTAAAGTGTAATGAAAAGTCACAGGCTCCTACAACAATGCAACGTAAATATATATAAGACATAAAACAATAAAGCTAATTTAAAAAACAGTAACATAGTGCAAGAAGAAACAGAGTAGAATAGCAAGATTACCGTATGTTGCAAGACCAATGTGCAAGTAATGCATGAAGTAAACTATACAGTATACGTACGTCAAAAAATACAATAAGTAACATTTTGCAGGGAATGTTGTAAGTGAATAAGTAAATGCATGAGTCTATAACCATGGAAATAGAATAAGATAAACATTAAAGTCCAGGGACTGAATAGAGGTGGGAAGGAGAAGATATGTGTGCATATTGTGTTCACACAGAGCGACGCCTCACATGCACACGTCCCTCTGTGATCGGCCCAGACAGACAGGCAGGTGGAGGGAAAAGGAGGCGAGTGTGAGGATTGTTGTGTTCACACTGTGGCAGCCGTCTCTGTGTACATTGAAGTGCAGAGGAGGGACAAACGGCCACATAGGGCTGTGTTTGTTTCTGGAGTGGCGTGACCGGCCTTCATGCCGTCGCCTGTCACTCGACTGGCTGCCGGTCGCCTGGCTCCACTCACAAAGCTGGCTCTTATTAGCGAGCCACGCGGGGGCCCTGGCACTGGAATTTTAACAAGCTCCCAGAGCAGCTAAGCTTCACGCTGATGTGCCCTCTCTCTCCGAATGTCCTGCTCCAGAAAGCCCTGACCCAGACACCACTCAGCCAGGTTCACTGACATCTTGACAGAGATGGCAAAAGTACACACATCCTTTACTCAAGTAGAAGTACAGTTACTCGTGTTTAAAAATACTGTGGTGAAAGTAGAAGTACTGACTAAACTTCTTTACTCAAGTGAAAGTAAAGAGGCTTTGAAGTGTACTTCAGTAAAAAGTACCCATAACTAGCAGCTGCTTTAAAGAGTACCTGACCTCCCTTTATATTAATAGAACAATAATGTCATTGTTAGCTAATGAATGTTTCCATGCTGAACAACGGCAACATGACAACGTTTCCATTGGTCCCTCTTCTTTAGAGAAGACCAGGAAATGATGGATACACGGATCGTGTTCAAATCAATAGGCACGCAATGACTCTAAAGAATAATGATCACGCATCAAACACACATTCAGACTAAAGGAACCAGCTGTTTGGAAAATGAGAGAAGTAGAAAGTATAGGTATTTGAGTTCAACATGTGAGAAGTAGAAAGTACAGGTATTTGTGTTCAACATGTAAGAAGTAGAAAGTACAGGTATTTGAGTTCAACATGTAAGAAGTAGAAAGTACAGGTATTTGGGTTCAACATGTAAGAAGTAGAAAGTACAGGTATTTGAGTTCAACATGTAAGAAGTAGAAAAGTACAGGTATTTGAGTTCAACATGTAAGAAGTAGAAAGTACAGGTATTTGAGTTCAACATGTAAGAAGTAGAAAGTACAGGTATTTGAGTTCAACATGTAAGAAGTAGAAAGTACAGGTATTTGAGTTCAACATGTAAGAAGTAGAAAGTACAGGTATTTGTGTTCAACATGTAAGAAGTAGAAAGTACAGGTATTTGGGTTCAACATGTAAGAAGTAGAAAGTACAGGTATTTGGGTTCAACATGTAAGAAGTAGAAAGTACAGGTATTTGGGTTCAACATGTAAGAAGTAGAAAGTACAGGTATTTGGGTTCAACATGTAAGAAGTAGAAAGTACAGGTATTTGTGTTCAACATGTAAGAAGTAGAAAGTACAGGTATTTGAGTTCAAAATGTTAAAAGTAGAAAGTACAGGTATTTGTGTTCAAAATGTTAAAAGTAGAAAGTACAGGTATTTGTGTTCAAAATGTTAAAAGTAGAAAGTACAGGTATTTGTGTTCAACATGTAAGAAGTATAAAGTACAGGTATTTGTGTTCAACATGTAAGAAGTAGAAAGTACAGGTATTTGTGTTCAACATGTGAGAAGTAGAAAGTACAGGTATTTGTGTTCAACATGTAAGAAGTAGAAAGTACAGGTATTTGTGTTCAACATGTGAGAAGTAGAAAGTACAGGTATTTGTGTTCAACATGTAAGAAGTAGAAAGTACAGGTATTTGAGTTCAACATGTAAGAAGTAGAAAGTACAGGTATTTGTGTTCAACATGTGAGAAGTAGAAAGTACAGGTATTTGTGTTCAACATGTAAAAAGTAGAAAGTACAGGTATTTGTGTTCAAAATGTTAAAAGTAGAAAGTACAGGTATTTGTGTTCAACATGTAAGAAGTAGAAAGTACATGTATTTGAGTTCAACATGTAAGAAGTAGAAAGTACAGGTATTTGTGTTCAACATGTAAGAAGTAGAAGTACAGGTATTTGAGTTCAACATGTAAGAAGTAGAAAGTACAGGTATTTGTGTTCAACATGTAAGAAGTAGAAAGTACAGGTATTTGGGTTCAACATGTAAGAAGTAGAAAGTACAGGTATTTGTGTTCAACATGTAAGAAGTAGAAAGTACGGTATTTGTGTTCAACATGTAAGAAGTAGAAAGTACAGGTATTTGTGTTCAACATGTAAGAAGTAGAAAGTACAGGTATTTGTGTTCAACATGTGAGAAGTAGAAAGTACAGGTATTTGTGTTCAACATGTAAGAAGTAGAAAGTACAGGTATTTGAGTTCAACATGTGAGAAGTAGAAAGTACAGGTATTTGAGTTCAACATGTAAGAAGTAGAAAGTACAGGTATTTGTGTTCAACATGTAAGAAGTAGAAAGTACAGGTATTTGGGTTCAACATGTAAGAAGTAGAAAGTACAGGTATTTGTGTTCAACATGTAAGAAGTAGAAAGTACAGGTATTTGTGGTTCAACATGTAAGAAGTAGAAAGTACAGGTATTTGTGTTCAACATGTAAGAAGTAGAAAGTACAGGTATTTGTGTTCAACATGTAAGAAGTAGAAAGTACAGGTATTTGAGTTCAACATGTGAGAAGTAGAAAGTACAGGTATTTGAGTTCAACAAGTAAGAAGTAGAAAGTACAGGTATTTGTGTTCAAAATGTTAAAAGTAGAAAGTACAGGTATTTGTGTTCAACATGTAAGAAGTAGAAAGTACAGGTATTTGTGTTCAAAATGTTAAAAGTAGAAAGTACAGGTATTTGTGTTCAACATGTAAGAAGTAGAAAGTACAGGTATTTGAGTTCAACATGTGAGAAGTAGAAAGTACAGGTATTTGAGTTCAACATGTAAGAAGTAGAAAGTACAGGTATTTGTGTTCAAAATGTGAGAAGTAGAAAGTACAGGTATTTGTGTTCAACATGTAAGAAGTAGAAAGTACAGGTATTTGTGTTCAACATGTAAGAAGTAGAAAGTTCAGGTATTTGGGTTCAACATGTAAGAAGTAGAAAGTACAGGTATTAGTGTTCAACATGTAAGAAGTAGAAAGTACAGGTATTTGTGTTCAACATGTAAGAAGTAGAAAGTACAGGTATTTGTGTTCAACATGTAAGAAGTAGAAAGTACAGGTATTTGTGTTCAACTTGTAAGAAGTAGAAAGTACAGGTATTTGGGTTCAACATGTAAGAAGTAGAAAGTACAAGTATTTGAGTTCAACATGTAAGAAGTAGAAAGTACAGGTATTTATGTTCAACATGTAAGAAGTAGAAAGTACAGGTATTTGTGTTCAACATGTAAGAAGTAGAAAGTACAGGTATTTGAGTTCAACATGTGAGAAGTAGAAAGTACAGGTATTTGTGTTCAACATGTAAGAAGTAGAAAGTACAGGTATTTGTGTTTCAACATGTAAGAAGTAGAAGTACAGGTATTTGTGTTCAACATGTAAGAAGTAGAAAGTACAGGTATTTGTGTTCAACATGTAAGAAGTAGAAAGTACAGGTATTTGAGTTCAACATGTGAGAAGTAGAAAGTACAGGTATTTGAGTTCAACATGTAAGAAGTAGAAAGTACAGGTATTTGAGTTCAACATGTGAGAAGTAGAAAGTACAGGTATTTGAGTTCAACATGTAAGAAGTAGAAAGTAAAGGTATTTGGGTTCAACATGTGAGAAGTAGAAAGTACAGGTATTTGAGTTCAACATGTGAGAAGTAGAAAGTACAGGTATTGAGTTCAACATGTAAGAAGTAGAAAGTACAGGTATTGAGTTCAAACATGTGAGAAGTAGAAAGTTCAGGTATTTGTATTCAACATGTAAGAAGTAGAAAGTACAGGTATTTGGGTTCAACATGTGAGAAGTAGAAAGTACAGGTATTTGAGTTCAACATGTGAGAAGTAGAAAGTACAGGTATTTGAGTTCAACATGTGAGAAGTAGAAAGTACAGGTATTTGTGTTCAACATGTAAGAAGTAGAAAGTACAGGTATTTGTGTTCAACATGTAAGAAGTAGAAAGTACAGGTATTTGTGTTCAACATGTAAGAAGTAGAAAGTACAGGTATTTGAGTTCAACATGTGAGAAGTAGAAAGTACAGGTATTTGTGTTCAACATGTAAGAAGTAGAAAGTACAGGTATTTGAGTTCAACATGTGAGAAGTAGAAAGTACAGGTATTTGTGTTCAACATGTAAGAAGTAGAAAGTACAGGTATTTGTGTTCAACATGTAAGAAGTAGAAAAGTACAGGTATTTGAGTTCAACATGTGAGAAGTAGAAAGTACAGGTATTTGAGTTCAACATGTAAGAAGTAGAAAGTACAGGTATTTGAGTTCAACATGTGAGAAGTAGAAAGTACAGGTATTTGAGTTCAACATGTAAGAAGTAGAAAGTACAGGTATTTGGGTTCAACATGTGAGAAGTAGAAAGTACAGGTATTTGAGTTCAACATGTGAGAAGTAGAAAGTACAGGTATTTGAGTTCAACATGTAAGAAGTAGAAAGTACAGGTATTTGAGTTCAACATGTGAGAAGTAGAAAGTTCAGGTATTTGTATTCAACATGTAAGAAGTAGAAAGTACAGGTATTTGGGTTCAACATGTGAGAAGTAGAAAGTACAGGTATTTGAGTTCTCACATGTGAGAAGTAGAAAGTACAGGTATTTGAGTTCAACATGTGAGAAGTAGAAAGTACAGGTATTTGAGTTCAACATGTGAGAAGTAGAGAAGTACAGGTATTTGTGTTCAACATGTAAGAAAGTAGAAGAAAGTACAGGTATTTGTGTTTCAACATGTAAGAAGTAGAAAGTACAGGTATTTGTGTTCAACATGTAAGAAGTAGAAAGTACAGGTATTTGAGTTCAACATGTGAGAAGTAGACAGTAGAAAGTTACAGGTATTTGTGTTCAACATGTAAGAAGTAGAAAGTACAGGTATTTGAGTTCAACATGTGAGAAGTAGAAAGTACAGGTATTTGTGTTCAACATGTAAGAAGTAGAAAGTACAGGTATTTGTGTTCAACATGTAAGAAGTAGAAAGTACAGGTATTTGAGTTCAACATGTGAGAAGTAGAAAGTACAGGTATTTGAGTTCAACATGTAAGAAGTAGAAAGTACAGGTATTTGAGTTCAACATGTGAGAAGTAGAAAGTACAGGTATTTGAGTTCACATGTAAGAAGTAGAAAGTACAGGTATTTGGGTTCAACATGTGGAAGTAGAAAGTACAGGTATTTGAGTTCAACATGTGAGAAGTAGAAAGTACAGGTATTTGAGTTCAACATGTGAGAAGTAGAAAGTTCAGGTATTTGTATTCAACATGTAAGAAGTAGAAAGTACAGGTATTTGGGTTCAACATGTGAGAAGTAGAAAGTACAGGTATTTGAGTTCAACATGTGAGAAGTAGAAAGTACAGGTATTTGAGTTCAACATGTGAGAAGTAGAAAGTTCAGGTATTTGTATTCAAAATGTTAAAAGTATAAAGTCGTCAGAAAAATAAGTAGTGGAGTAAAGTACTGATACCAGAAAAATGTACTTAAATACAGTAACGAAGTATTTGTACCTCAGGTAACAGATACTCTCCTCAGAGGGTCACACTGACCGGAGACAAGCAGCCAGATGTAATGTGCTAACAGAACTGGAGGCTTTATTGTCACGGACGGGATAATAGATGTTCCCCTTCAGCTTGCTGAGCTCATTAGCGATAACTTGATTGATTCTTCCTCTTTTGCTGTGCAGATTAAAGCATGTTGTGCTAGCTCATTTCAACCTGATGGCATGAAAAGTGAAGTACACTGTTCATTTGTCAGAGATGTGGGCACACCCACATGCACGTCTGGCCCACCCACAGCCAATCAGCGCGTCATAGCGATAGTTGACGTTCCTGACAAGCGGCAAACTCTGGGGCAGTGCCGAGTAGCCCAGAAGGAAGTGCCACAAACTGCAGTTCATCTAGTGGCCGACAGGGGATGGATGCAGAAAGGAGCAATTCCCATAGACCCCCATGTTAAAATGCCCAACTTTACAGCAGAAATAAACTTGTTTCTAGCCTGGATCCAATCGTACGTATTCTGGATATAGTTAGATTCCACCTTCATGACTAAGGAACAGGGAGTACATTTTTTACCGTGAGTAAATTAGTAAATAAAGTAAGTTTTGCCGTGAGTGAATGAAAGTCTTATTTCTTCTTGAGGTCTGCAGTGAAGCGTGTACACATTTGCTGAATATGAAAACACTCTCAGTGTGTGCCCACTGTGCGACTGTCAAGGATAAACAACCTGTGGCCGCCGAGCCAGTCATGTGGATGTCAGTTTTACACATTCTCAGGCCGCCGTGCCTATGTTTTTGTTTTCACTGCTAGTTTATGCTTATGCTTGATTAGTGCATTAAAAATAAATAAAATCATTAATGAAGTTTCAGCTCAGAGCCCACGCTTAATAAGTCTCCCCCTAGCCCACCTACATTTCTCCAGGCCCACCCACACAATAATTCCTGGCTACGCCACTGGTTCTGACATCATACTGATCTTCAAAAAAAAAGAAAACTCCCTCTGGATGGATTTTAGCCTTTGCAGACCATTTACATGCACACCTATATTTAAATAGCTGGAGTATAAAGTAAGCAGTTTTATTCTTGCTAACAGAATGTGTGTCCCGTAAAATGTAGGAAGCAAAACAACAACCATCTCTTTCACATTGTTTAGCTGACTCGATGCTTTGACATTGATTTGGAACGGTCTGAGGGGAGGATAAGGCATGTCAAAGTCATGTGTCTCTGCTTGCTTCACCTCAGGCCCTCTCTCTCTCTCTGTCTCCCTCCCTCTCTCCTCCCTCCGCTCTTTAATGACTTCGATGTGGAAGTCTCCCCTTCCCCCCTCAAAGTAAATATTTAGTGGATAAACTGGCATGATGCTGTCTCTGTCAACAACAATAGTATTTCCCCCGTTTGCCACTAACTACTAGGGGGACGTCTCTTCGGCAAATAATTCAGCAGGGATTGTTTTTCAGGGGGAGGATTTCACTTCTAAAGAAGGCCGTGTATTCTTAGGAGTGACTCCAATAAATTGCACTTAAGGGCTTTGCTCAGCATAATAAGCAAGTGAATGTATGCTCGCTCACACCAAGGACCAAGAGGGCTGTATTTCTGTCAACTGCATTTGTTCCAGAGCCATAAACCATGTTGACGTTTTAATATCTCAGCATCTGTAACACTCATATTTACTTCTGTTGCAATTGCACTATTGCCTTCTTTTTGTTCCATAACTGTTTTTATTGTGTGTCAATTTGTCTTGCAGTGGCATCACCACCTACAGCCAGATGGTGCAGGGCGAACCTTCGACCCCGCCTCCTTCCTCCTCTCATTTGGTTATTTTCTTGCCGTGTTTGCCGGCTCCCTCCTCCTGGGTTTCACATTCACAATCACAACAGCCCTCATATCCTTTCATCCCCTCCCATCTGTGTCTTCACCCTAAACTCATTATCACCCCGGCATCCGCTGCAATCTATCCACTTCCTCCACTTGGTAATTGCCTCTAACTAAAGCCCCTACTGTACCACCTGAACTCAACTCTAAAGTTGCT